GACATGTCTTCATTCAGAGGCATTTGAACTGAGATAAGTAATGAATATCTATCTTGCACCTTAATACAATTCAGTCTCCTTGACAACTGTTTATGAAATATCATACAAGAATTTTCCAACGTTTGTATACAGCCATCACATTGTGAAGGTCATTTGTTTAATTCAGAAATGTTGTCTTATAATAAATGGCCTAAGAAATGTATTCTCAAAAAGGCCCTTTAACCCTTAGTGGGCTGATCTTCTATTATTTAAGAATTTCTATGACCAGAAACTAGTTGCGTATTACTTTACTTGTAAATCTATTCCTTTTGGTCTGCATACAACGATAGTTATCACCTTTTGGAGCAGATAAGAAATTGTACTGGACATCTCAGAATCCCTACAGTGTGGAAACAGGCCATTCAGCCCAACAAGACCACACCGACTCTCCAAAGAGCATCCCACCCAGACTCACCCACCTACCCTATCCCTATAACCTCACATTTCCCGTGGCTAATCCACCTAACTTACACATCCCTTGGACACTATAGACAATTTAGCACGGCCAATCCAACCTAACCTGCACATCTTTAGACTTTGGGAGGAAACCGGAGCACCCGGAGGAAACCCACGCAGACATAGGGAAAATGTGCAAACTCCACACAGATCATTGCCTGAGGCTGGAACTGAACCCAGGTCCCTGGTGCTGTGAGGCAGCAGTGCTAACCAACGAGCCACAGTTAAGGGACAATTGCATAGAACACTATTATACTTACAGCAGGTGCATTATAATTTACAGAGTTCATGGCAAATCATTTTGCACACTACTGCATGAGGACCTTTCTGTAATTCAATTTTTGGCACCCAGGCCTACCTGTGTATTACGCTACTAGGTCAACACATCTTCCCTGTGTAATAGTGTAACTCACAAGCCAAAGAACATTACTTCATAACACATTTTAACATCTACTTAGACATCAAAGAACAGCATAGTGACCTACTTAGCATAGTTACTGGCCATCAGTTCTGCCACAGTTACATTAGAATTCAGGAAGTCCATCAATTAAAATGGCAACACCTGGTCAGACTTCAAGCTGAAGTTACTTTTGGATGCTGTTCATACCTGATTGCTTCTTTTCCTTTAAGTTCTGTAGGCACTGCTTCCACCACCTCATTAAATGCAGGTCCAAGGCCAAATTCAATTTCGCTAATTGAATCAATGTGATTATAATGTTTCTGTTTATGGAACCAATATGAGGGTTTAAGGAAGTAGAAAAAAGGCTGACGTTGCCCAAATTCACCTAAATATACAAAGGAAGGAAACTTATGACAAAAACATGCTGAATGAGAAATAATAAATACTGAAATATTATAAAATTTCTTCATTACTGAAACTAAGATCAAACAACCACGTATATTTATTAAAATCACTAATCACACATTGAGCATAGCAGCAAAGACAGAATTATCTTGGACCAACAGGGAAAAAGAGCAGTTTTAGACATTATATTTCTAATGCAACAGAGGAAGTTAAAGAAGATTTTGAAATCAAACAAGTTAATTCTATGCAACCTACCCTTATCAGAACACACAATGATACTGAGCTTACCTCAGTAAATAGAACTTGCAAAGGTACAACAAAGGGGCAAACAGATAAGTAAAACTTTACTTTGCTATCCTTAGATAGAAATCTAATTTTTCTCTTGCATTCAGCACAGAACTCAAAACAAAATGCTCTGTGCAATGCAATTTTAGTTGTAACTCTCCATGGCTTTGCAATGCAGTTTTTGCAAAGACTGTATAAAGCACAATAAGATATGAAGCATAATACTTATACCATATTCCATTTCTACATTTTCATATGTGCCCCTAGAAATTATCCTCTGTGCATAACAATAGTAGATATTTAAGTGCTTCAAGTATGATGCTTCAGTACATGTGCAAATATGGTTATACTGTTCAAATAACATTTAATTTATAGTAATGCTCCTGTTTAAATGAACAATGATCATTTAAATAATGTAACACACAGAAATATTTAAAAACACAGGAAATAAATTCCACTTCAGCTTTCAAAACAAGTATGATTCAAAAGAAATACAGCATGCAACAAGTGGTTTAAAAAATTCAGACGTAATCTGAAGAATTCAAGTTGACTAAAGGTCTAGCCCAGCACCCAGGGAAAATCTATTTTTCTATTCAACAAAGAGCTGATTGGTTCAGTACTGAATACACCCAATAATTCCTTTTAAACAATGACCAATCAAATTCTCTTTTTGCAGGGTGTATCACACTTATACAACTGGCAAAGGTCTTAGAAAATTATGGCTCATGCACTAATTTACCAATCTGTGTTGTTATTTCAATTCGGTTATCAAATTGCACCTAGCAATTCCTACTGGCAAATTAAATAGCTTCTCGTGTATCTAAAAGATGAAATCACTGCTTTATTTGCATATTTACATACCTGGGAGAACTTGGTCAAGATATACAGCAATAAGCAGATACAGGACACTGTCCAGGACTAACATGAAAAGAGGTATGTATAAAGGGAATGGGCTTGCTGACAGATTCGAGGGCTGAGCGCCATCACCAACAGCTTCAAGAAGCACAACCTAACAAAAACAAAGAGTTTCAATTAAAATACCATCCAGCAAGAAACAAGGCCAAGTGCGTGACATACAATCTGAATCATAGTTGACAGAAAAATAACCAAATTTACGCCAGTTCGTAAACAGATTTCGGGGTGGTGGGAAAAAGAGAGAAGAACATTTCCACTGACAGCAACCAACAGTGCAGTAATAGAATTTATATTGTTACAGCTGCCAGTCTAACTAGAAGGTATCTTGTACAACTGGACACAGTGGCTATTTTGGACAAAAACAACTACTCAAACTTCAAATGTCTGAAATAATTTAGCTAAGATTATTAGTTCTAGCAGATTGTAAATTTCAAAACACAGAGCATTGCAATTCAAGGATGAGAAAACCCAATAAAATCAGTTCAGCTCCAGGACGAAATTATAGGGAAATCATGGATGGGTAGTTATAATGTGCACAGATTAAATTATTATTCATATTATACTCATTTACAACTGAATAAAGAAGCATTTCAGTGATTTTCATGGGTCTGAGGAACAAGCTTCGCTAGAGTAACTGGCACATTTGTTTCATTAAATATTATGCCAGTACAATGTGTCAGCATAGGGATAGATGCGTTTGTAGAAACAATCCCCAAAGGACAAAATTACCAAACTCAGTTTCCTATCTCGCACATGGCAATAAAGTAATTAATTGTTTTGATGTGGATAAAACTAGTTTTGGCCACAAATAGTTAAAGCCAAATAGCAGGGTAGAATCAGCTAAAAGTAAACATGAAGGAAAAAACTCCCCCCTCTTTGTGTTCCTAGTTCTCCAAAAACTTCTCTGTAGCCAGAGTATTAAAGGTAAAACTGGGAACTGACTGCATGCCAGACCAAGCAGTCAAGTAAACAATGCAAAAGAAAGATCAAACTCTACTTAATACAGAAATTCAGTTAAGCAAAAATAACATGACCACTCATGGTGTATAAACTAGTAAAGTGCATTCTGCATTACTGATGTTGACATTTTACAATGTAGATTATATCATATGATAGTTTTGAAATTGGTGTGCGCAAATTATCTAATGTTTGGCAACAGTTTGTTAGCCTCATTGTTAATTGTGCAAAAAAATCCAGCCCAATATTTTTTAAAAAGCAGAAAAATAGCTGAAATTGAAAGAACTGGGTGTGTAAATTGGGTATGCCATCAGTTTAAGGACTTTAACAAAATATCATTCAGTACAGCAATAAATGTAAAAAAAGAAGAATTATTAGGTTTATATTCTGCTTTTAACCAGGCTCCTTCTTGGTGAATGTGACACCTTAAAGTGAGAAACACCAACACCGACAGCAATGTGAGGCAAAAGCCATGTTAAGCCTAGCCTCATTTAAATTTTTAAATCCAACTCCTGTTGAAGACAACAGGAATGATGCAATGGCTAGTGAGTCAGGTGTGGGAAATTTTGGTCAATAAATATTGAGATAAACCACATTTACCCAACAAAATTAGTTCCCTGCATCTGAATACCTGTGCAATTCCAATGGCTAAGGCACTAGGGGAGAATACACATAGTCCCCACACAGCAGATACTGGAAAATCTCTGACCAGAATTGTAGGAAGGCTAAACAATCCAAAACCCATCAGCATTAAGGATCCAACCAAACCAGCAATCTTCTGATTCTTAAAAAGTGGAGTCAACAGAAATGAAAAGGGAATCTGTAAAAGAAAAGATTTAGATTTTAAAGTTATAGTCCATTTGGGCTTAAGTTTCTCTTGCTGAAAAATAACATTCTCAATATATTACATTTATGAACAAAGAAATCAGAGCATAAAAAATTGCTAATTGACCAATCAAGTCCACCCCTTCCAAAGTGTTTAAAAGCTAAATTTGTAAAAATCTTATGTAGTTCTTAATCCAGACTGATTACATCCATGCATAGTAAAACAAGCTAGTAAATACAGACAACAGATACATGTTTACATATTTAAAAAAATTACAGTGGACTGATCAGAGTACAACCCATACGATTCTCATTTTTCTTTAGGTAGGGAGCAAGAGCAAGCCAAAGGGAGTAAAACTGTCAGCTTCGCACCAGCAGTAGTAAACAAAATTAATCAAAGTAGTAATAGTGGAATATCCAGCAACTACACCACATAAGAGAAGTCAATAAGAATTTCAAAAGGGCAAACCATGCTTGACCAATATGATTCAAGTTTCTGAAGAATGATAAACACTTGAGTGCTTATGAAAAAGACAAATTTTATCAAAGCTTTTATCCTGTATTCATCAGGACAGTTCACAAGAATACCACTGTAAAGGGAAAACAGCATTTATACCATATGAATGGAGAGTGATGATTGGCTGGCAAGCAGCTTTTGATAAATGGATGTGTTGATGGCTGACAGTTAACTGCCGAGTCTTGTTTAAATTTTAAGCCAGGCAGATTGACTCTGATTGGTCAAGGTACTGTCCTGAGCAAAGATCTTTTGTTGAAAACAGTTACAGTGTGTGTCCATGTTTTTCTATCTGCAAAGAATAAGGTCCCATGTATAAATATTTAGCTGCCAGTCCACACAAGTGCAATGCAGTGTGAGCTTGACTGACAATCTTAAATTGGTTGTGAACATAATTTTTTGCATGCTCAAGATTATTTAGCAAATGTTACCCAAATGCCAAAGTCATAAGTTGAACACTTGTGCTTTAAGTTTTGCAAACACAGACAGGTTGGATAGTTTGACAGTACCTTTTTTGTTATAAACAGCCAAATGGATATGCTATGTGATATATTCTGTTAGTGTCTTTTGGGGTATGATTTACATACCTAGCGTCACTCTAGCACTGAGATTCATATACCACATTATTCATTTATTTGATAAGCAGAATGCCTTTTTGGCTTGACAACAGCATCCAATTAGTGGCGAACACCTCTCATTGTTCCAGCTTAGTCCCAGTGCAAAAGAGCTAGCTTCACCTGCACTCAAACCTTTGAGACACTTTACCTTTCCAGGGTAACCAGAAGTAGAATGGGCATTAATGTCTCATTATAGAAGCATTAATATAGTACATTTAACATACAGCAAACTTTTTTATAAACCGGCACCTATGAGGCCAGGTGCGTGCCAATTGATCAAATATTCAGGTTTATCAAGAGGTCCACACAATCAATGTAAATCATGATAGAACAAAGAACAAAGAAAATTACAGCACAGGAACAGGCCCTTCAGCCCTCCAAGCCTGCGCCGATCCAGATCCTCTATCTCAACCTGTCAACTATTTTCCAAGGATCTGTATCCCTCTGCTCCCTGCCCATTCATGTATCTGTCTAGATACATCTTAAATGACGCTATCATGCCCACCTCTACCACCTCTGCTGGCAACGCGCTCCAGGCACCCACCACCCTCTGCGTAAAAAACTTTCCACGCATATCTCCCTTAAACTTTTCCTCCCTCACCTTGAAATCGTGACCCCTAGTAATTGAGTCCCCCACTCTGGGAAAAAGCTTCTTACTATCCACCCTGTCTATATCTCTCTTGATTTTGTAGACCTCAATCAGGTCCCCCCTCAACCTCCGTCTTTCTAATGTAAATAATCCTAATCTACTCAACGTCTCTTCATAGCTAGCGCCCTCCATACCAGGCAACATCCTGGTGAACCTCCTCTGCACCGTCTCCAAAGCAACCACATCCTTTTGGTAATGTGGTGACCAGAACTGTATGCAGTATTCCAAATGTGGTCAAACCAAAGTTCTATGCAACTGTAACATGACCTGCCAACTCTTGTACTCAATACCCCATCTGATGAATGAAAGCATGCCATATGCCTTCTTGACCACACTATCTACCTGCGTTGACACCCAGATCTCTCTGTGCATCAATTTTCCCCAGGGCTTTTCCGTTTACCGTACAGTTTGCCCTTGAATTGGATCTTCCGAAATGCATCACCTCGCATTTGCCTGGATTGAACTCCATCTGCCATTTCTCCGCCCAACTCTCCAATCTATCTATATTCTGCTGCATTCTCCGACAGTCCCCTTCACTATCTGCTACTCCACCAATCTTAGTGTCATCTGCAAACTTGCTAATCAGACCATCTATACCTTCCTCCAGATCATCTATGTATATCACAAACAACAGTGGTCCCAACACGGATCCCTGTGGAACACCACTGGTCACAGTTCTCCATTTTGAGAAACTCCCTTCCACTACAACTCTCTGTCTCCTGTTGCCCAGCCAGTTCTCTATCCATCTAGCTAGTACACCCTGGACCCCACACGACTTCACTTTCTCCATCAGCCTACCATGAGGAACCTTATGGAACGCCTTACTTAAATCCATGTAGAGGAGATCTACAGCCCTTCCCTCATCTATCAACTTTGTCACTTCCTCAAAGAATTCTATCAAGTTGGTAAGACATGACCTTCCCTGCACAAAACCATGCTGCCTATCACTAATAAGCCCATTTTCTTCCAAATGTAAATAGATCCTATCCCTCAGTATCTTCTCCGGCAGCTTCCCCACCACTGACGTCAGGCTCACCGGTCTATAATTTCCTGGATTATCCTTGCTACCCTTCTTAAACAAGGGGACAACATTAGCAATTCTCCAGTCCTCCAGGACCTCACCCGTGCTCAAGGATGCTGCAAAGATATCTGTTAAGGCCCCAGCTATTTCCTCTCTCGCTTCCCTCAATAACCTGGGATAGATCCCATCCGGACCTGGGGACTTGTCCACCCTAATGCCTTTTAGAATACCCAACACTTCCCTCCTCCTAATGCTGACTTGACCTAGAGTAATCAAACATCTATCCCTAACCTCAACATCGATCATGTCCCTCTCCTCAGTGAATACCGACGCAAAGTACTCATTAAGAATCTCACTCAATAATAATACAATAAACTTCAGTATTTCAGGTATATAATTTTTCCCGGTTTATCAAGAGTGCTGGTTTAAACAATGTTTACTGTACTTGGATTTTCAAATCGAAAAGGTAACAGAGAGCGTTGATCCAGGAAATGTTGCTGCTGTGGTGTAAATGGACTTCCAAAAGCCATCTGATACAGTGCTGCAGAGCAGACCTTTGTGCAAAATTATAGCTCATGGAATAAAAGAGGTAGCAGCAACATGGATATGAAATTGGCTGAGCGACAGGAAACAGAAACTATTGGTTAATGAATGTTTCATCAGCTTGGAGGAAGGCGTGTACTGGGGTCAGCGTTGGGGCCCCGATATATAGTGCAGGGTAAGTTGGATTGAAATGACTATTTCTGTGCTGTAAGTTCAATGAACTTGTATGTCAAATTCCCATCTTGTTATAAGACATAGAATGTCACCCCGTAGATATTTAAAAAGTTGCAGGTAACTAACATAGGGCTCTGCCAATATTTAAAAATGATGTGGAGGTGCAGGTGTTGGACTGGGGTGAACAAGGTCAGAAGTCAGACAACACCAGATTACAGTCCAACAGGTTTACTTGAAATCACTGGACTTCACCTGATGAAGGCGCAACACTCTGAAAGCTTATGATTTCAAATAAACCTGTGGACTATAACCTGATGTTGTGAGACTTCTGACAATATTTTTTTAAAAAAAGAGAGGTATCAATCAGTGGTTGTTGTAGTTTTTTTATTCTGTTGCAGCTGTATTACTTATAAGGTAAAATTCTAAGGAACCTAAATGAATTTGCATCTTGTAAACAATCAGTGCAGAAAAGCATCTATTCATAATATACAGTGAAGCTCTTCTCATCACCTGTGAAAAATAATTAGTTAATAAACAGCATATAAAAAAAGTGATTCAGAGAGAGTAGGAACTGCCGATGCTGGAGAATCTGAGATAACAAGGTGTAGAGCTGGATGAACACAGCAGGCCAAGCAGCATCAGAGGAGCAGGAAAGCTGACGTTTCGGGTCTGGACCCTTCTTCAGAAAACTTTGGCTTTCCTGCTCCTCTGA